CGAGACACACTACGATGGAAATCAATGGCTGAGAATTTTGCTTGCACAAAGGAGAACTTGAGCTCCATATAAACCTAAGGGCAGTGGTTTTCATTTCAAAACTGTTAATAAGCAACTACTGTCAAGCCTCTGTACTGCTGGAAGTTGTTTAATTGTTAAAATTTCCGTGTTCATAAGAAAGCAATGTTTTATAATCATTGCCATTTCAAATCACTTAAAAAGAAATCCAAGATAAGCATCCCAAGAACGCAATAAAACTTAACTAATTTTACCTGCTATTTCTTTGTTTTGCTTTAAAAATTTAATGTTCAGTTTTGAGAATATGTATACAAAATCCATTATAGTTTCTTCAAACTGCTATATTAACTACTCCTTATTAATGCAGTATTAACATTGCTTTGTAATGTGAGAGATAATCATAAAAGTAATGATAAATTAATTATTCACTATTGCTTTAAGCAATAGCTTTTGAGTTAGAAATAAACACCAGCTATTCCAATGCAAATGGGTAGAAACATATATATTGTAGATGCAAATATGAAGTGAAGTGGCTTAACATTCAGTATTCTCAAATTAAATGTTATCAAACTCAGTGTTATCAAATTAAATATTAGAAGGAGATCCTGGGTTGTTGCATACACACTTTTTTAAATACACTTTTTGCTGAGCCTCAATATTCTTAAGTTTTTAAGATCGAGTCTAAGATTATTTTAAATTATTCTTAAGCGACAAAACCTGTAACTAGCCGCATTATAGTGTTAATGCCCCCCTCCCCCTCCCCTCCCCCTGCAGGATCAATCTACTTCAAGAAATACACAGCTTGATACTGGCATTTTTTTGCTTTCTAAAAAACAAAAAACTTGATTCTTGATAAAGCTTTAGCCTGCATCATTCTTAATTCTTCTTAAATTCAGCGATTTTGAGCTTAGTATTCTTTCAGACTTTATATTTATTATAAAGTGTGTAGTTACATGTCAATATCTTTGACCTCTTAATCAACTGCTTCGATAAGTTGCAGCATCTTCCATTCCATCATCCTCCATTCCAAAAATTTTTGACTTAATTTTGAAATATATGAATCGTAAGGAGTGGAAAGAAATAGCGCAAAATAGATGGAATGAATACTTTGAAATGGGAATATATTTGTATATTCGTTGCCACCTAATTTCTTAGAATGGAGAGAAGAATTATTAAAATTTCCAGATTTGAAAATAAGGGTAAAAGACGAAGATGAATGTTTTTTTGCTCGAATCAAACAAAATTCGATTGAGCAAGTAGAGAAACAGTTGGATGTTGCATGTATTTTCTATTTTAAATTTTATAATTCTCAGCTGGTTTTTCTTTTTCAAATCAATCAGAGAATTTTTTCTGCAAACATCTTTTGTGCATTAATAGATGGAACGTATATATCGATTATCATTATCAGTCTTGGTTCTCCTTAACATCAAAAAGATGAATTTCCCGGCTCGCAATTCCTTTGTGCCTCTTCGCGCTCTGAATCCAAGCAGGACCGTCACTACGGTGCGTGTTGGGTGAGGTATGACGCCCCAAATGGAAAAGTTCTGAAAAAACAAGGAATTTTTTGCCATGATGGGGCATGTTTTTTGAATTGACGGCAAATAGAGAATGGCTCACCCACTTTGACAGCGAATGGACCCTAAATCCAAGGAATCAAACCTCCCTATGGGGCTGCACTAATGCTTTAATTAGCTCTTCATTTTCCTTTGAAATATTTTTTTAAACGATGTAGCAATTTTACTTTCGAGACCTCAATTTTTAAGTTACAATCGATCTGAATTTCTACCCTTTTTGCGAGGTAAAGGCAAATATTGCGAACTGTAGAATTTTCTAACGAATATCCCCCATTTTTTATATTTGTTTCTACCCAGCATCTGAAGTTAGTTTTTGACACTGAGAAGCTATGCTTGTCCGGCAGTGACCTGGTTCTTTCCTTCGATGCGACCACACCTCGTGATTCCTACGCTTGGAATTACAGAGAGCTGGCCACTCCCCTCACTCTATGAGAAAAACCCTAAACTTTTGGATCCGTAGTCTGCGGTCCTAACTACCGGGCAATCCTCGCCCATTGAAAATAAAATGGTAAAATCTCTTGAGGTTTTCGTAGGAATGTGTTAAACATTAGCGGTTAATTTTGTTAATATTTTTCGTTGCCAACCAACTGCGAGACTATTGATGGTTAGTACTTTAATTTTTTTTAGATTATGCGTTAGATCTTTTTCTTTTTCTTCTTCTGGATTGACAATATAAATATTTACTTTTTGTTTCTGCATCCATTAATATGTAGTTTTGTTTTGAAGGCAAAACAAGTTAGCTAAAGTGTGTGCTTTATTTCTTTATCTCATTCTTTCTTTGGCTAAATTTCGGAAGAATGGCGAAGTTTTTTTTGTTGAAAATCAGTACAACAAGCCAGCAGATTCTTCAGTGCCCGATATGGGTCAATATACGTAAAATATCATATTGCAATATCAACACACGTATCATGGCGTATCATATCAATATCACTTTTACCTGAGGAAATCATTTGGATCTGTCTTTTAGCATTTAATATTTTCGAGAAAGATAAAATCACATATTTTAGACCTAAGGATTCAATTCTGTAGATAATTGCCAAAAAGGAGTCTGTGGCTGAAAATGAGCTTTGAACATTTACTTTGGGTGCAGGGCCTACGCCACCAATTTGAAAGTAGGGGGCCAAGGCTTTTCCCCCTTTTACTGCAGCTTAGAACAATCTGCTTTGCAAAAAAGTGGGGGGGGCATGCCCCCTCCGGCCCCCCGGTGGCGTAGGTCCTGAGGTGTAGACGAGTCTAAATGATAGGATTGTCTATGTTTGGCCTAAAAAGTTTGCATGGCTGTAACAGTTGAAGCCAAAAAAGACTGTTGATTTTGCCTTGTTTTTATTGTATAAACGATATGCATTTTGTCATATCAATATGTTCCAACTTGAAATGCAGTGGTGAATTAATAAGAAGACGGGAAAAGAGACGTGAAACCCCAACTCTCTTCCTAGCCTCAATGCATGTCCCATTTTAGAGGAAGAGCACCCCTCTTGTATTTATAGTTTCCAATGAACCAGAAACCAAAATTGTAGTATTTGTAGTGTATGTATCCTTTTGAAGAACACCGTAAGAGCTAGTTTCATATCTATTTCTAATTATGCATGTACTTTGTTCTCGATTTTTTCATTATCACCCCTTTACATGGAAAAGAGGGTAAAGAGTAGCTGGAATTTTTGTCATTAAGCCACCAGAGCTGCCTTAAAATCTAAATTTTTCCAAAGGAGCCCACCCCTGGACCACCTAGTGGTTGTATACGTGCTTTTTCGTTTCTGTGCCACAATATTAAGGTATATTGCATTGCATATATGCTCCTACGTCATACAACTCTGTTGATATGTCATATCTTTGCCTTTCTAATCTTTTAAAGTGCCTCTGTCAGAAGTTTCGTAGACAATATTAAACTCAAAATAGGATTTGAAATTAGGCGCAGCACTTATGATGACAACTTGGGGTGTCTTTGGTTTCTGGTTTTTGTTCTTAACGTTCTTCTCCTATCTAAGTGTTGGTTTTCGTAACTACGATCTAGATTTGGCTGTTTGGCGATAGGCTTTGATCTTTTGCTCATCTTAACCTGATGCTAAGATGATATGCTTTTGTCTACTTTTCACGAAGCCAAATATATCGTGTTTCGTGTCATATTTATCCCCTGGCTTCATCCGCTCTTGTGCTCAAGCGAATTTATTGTTGGTTTTCGGAAGTCTTGTGTTTGCTCTTACTGTTTAACACAGCCTTGTCAGCGCAGTGGGTCCGTGAATCCCTGTTTGGTCATGTTTGGTCACCCTGTCCCTTTATAAAAGGTACCGGAAAACCAACTGATGTTGGTTACAAAGCCTTGCTTCTTTTTTATTTGCATTTTGATGAAACACAAGGAAGATACCTTATCAAATATCACAGATGCTTTGCTGATGCCAAGAACGCTCAGCTCTTTGTCAGGGTCTCCGATGAAGGGGGGTCGGGGCAAAGGCCCCCATTACCCTTGCCACCCACTTTCCAACCTGTGTCGGAGCCCATGTTTGTTTTAATACCATTCAACTCAAGCTTTTTATCGTTTTTTAATTCTATCCTGCATATCTTCTAACTTACATACAGCATATCTTGGCTGTGATTTCCTACAGTCAAGATATGATGTATGTAAGTTGGAATTTCCTTTCCAATGTCTCGGAAAAAGGGGTCATCATAGAAAAGGGGCATTTTTCTAATAGTTGGAAACACGTCTAAAAGCATTTTATTGAAGTTTCGTCGCGTTACGACGTCGTGGTTCTTCTTCTTATTATTACGAGGCAGCAGAATGGCGAGGCTAGAAATTCAGTTCAATACAAACAACTGAACATAAGTAGGAAGGCGCGAAACCATGACAAGAACATATCATCTCACTCGCCATTAGCCGCAGCACACCTCCCAAGCATAATGAGAGGCTAATACCTCCCCGAATCATCTCTTACCATCTCTTTGCCTACTATAACTCAGCTGACCAGCACACAGAGAAGTATTTTTGAGATGGTACCGTTACAGTTGCGCAGAAATCTACATTTTCTTGAATCTGCTCAGAAACTTCATATGCCAGCGTTGAAAACTCCGACAAAGGTAAAATCACGGCAAATGCTGTACTCTGTCAAGCCGTAATTTCTCACGCCAAAATTATACAGGGAATATTTACGCGTCTAGCTCTATTGTACCTCTCTTTTTTTAGTTTGTGTTTTATGAATGGTATTTTGATGATTATGTGCCATATTTACAAAGGTGGAATCAGTGCTTCTTCTGCAATTAATTTGCTGGCCACGTGCCAATTGATAAGAGACTTAATGCAACACATTGAAAGTAAATGATATGATATCAAAGCATGTTATTTGCCAAATATATAAAAGTGGGCAAACAGCTAGAGCTTTTTTCTATAAATGTAATTATATAACATTAAATTTTTACCAAAATTTTCACATCAGGTAATACAAAGTGCAAAGATCTGAAGCTTCCACTTCATGGAATTGCTCTGAGAAACAATAAAAAAATTGCTGTCAATGCAGTAGAAGTCAAGTGCAATTCAGGATATCGTTTGGTTGGGTCAAAATGGCGTGTCTGCACAAATAGTGGAAAATGGAGTGGGTTGCCTTCTAGATGTGAAGGTATGAGTTTTCCTTGGAACAAAAGACAACAAAAAAGGCTGCAAATAGTTGTTATCATTTTTGCAACTAGCTGGCAGATTCCTTTATTTGTAACTCCTTTAAGCAAGGAACCTTTTACATCTCTTAACTCTATCTGACCTCCAGCCTGGGGGAAACACTCAATGCCTGGGGAGGGGCGGATTCAATTCCCCCCTGTTTATCTCGCTGTTATTAATGATATGCCAACCAAATTTGCAACAAAAGTTACTTATCATATAAGCAATTAATTCAAAAGATAATAATTCAATTAGCTGTGTTGTGTAAACAATGAGGTCATAGAATTGTAAACATTTTGTGTGATGTCATAGTTATGAAAGCATGTTAAAAGTTCATTAAACTTGCATTTTTGCAACGAAACAGAAGACAGAGATCAAAATACATACATTTCCAAAATTTGAGCTTAATTGGACTAATAACAAAGGAATAAGAGAAGTATGAAGTTCAATTTCACAGACATAGCTGTGGGAACTTGGTAACCATGAAGACAGTGCTAAATAAATAAAGTCGAAATTTTTATAATTTCACTGCTTTATGATACAAAGTAATACTTACATCGTCTCAGATGCCTATTTTACATGTAGAGCAATGTGGAAACAAAAAATATAGTAGGTGGGGGGCAGATTCTGCCCCCCTAGGTCAAATAGGGTTAATGCCATTATATTTGTAAGACAAAGAATGAATTCAAAATTAAGAAAGCCTTCACATTGCAAAGTTTGCAAGTTCTTTGTGAATACCTCTTATAGCTTCACTCTGTAGAAGACTATATTTTCCATAATTTTCATTTTATTAGCCTTTGTTGTTTTATTGTCATCTTCATTTTGTTTTATTCTTATTAATGGTGAGGCCTTTAATTGAATGAGGTATATAATGGGTGAGATACCTCGTTTGTGTTCAAGTAAGGGTACCTTATTCTATTGGGACACACCACAAAATTTATTTTTGAAATTTAAACTTAAATAGAGTATTTTATAGGCGAAATCAAAAGGCTCTAAAAATTCTTTTATAAAGTCATACCTTGTAACTTTATTAATTTGCTGTTCAAACTTGAATTAACAGACATTGATGAGTGTGCTGCTGGAGGACAAAACTATCCGTGTGATGACAATGCCGATTGTATCAATACCATTGGCTCATATTATTGTGTTTGCTTGCCTGGCTTTCGTGGTGATGGAATTAATTGTAAAAGATATGAATACAGTAAGTTTTGTTATTTAGTTTCTATGCATATGTTTTGTGACAAATCTCCTTTTAAGAAACTGCAGCCCGATGGGCGGTGCCAAAGAGGGGGCTGGGGGGCTTCAGCACAAACGTGATTTTATCATAAAACAAAAAGAAAAATAAAAGCAAGAAGATAGAAGAAAAGAATTGTGGAATGAATCCTATTATTGCTCAATTTCTCAAGGAATAATCGAAGTCTATAGTACCTCATAAAGTAATGAATTCCAAGACTGGAATTAATCAACCGTAATGAAAGCATGCCTTAAAAAATAGTAAAATGTTTTAAACGATTGCAAAAAATGACCAAAAATCGTGAAGCATTTTAGTGTGTTTCTCAAAACTTGGATGTTTAGTCTGATAATGCTGTCAACTCGAGAACCCCACCCCCCCCCACTTTGAATATCTTGGCGCTGCCCCTAAACCCTTAATAGATATAATTGAACAATTTTACACCCCCTCACCTTTCTATGGGTAACATTTCAATATAATAAACATATTAAAGCAAAAGAAATTGTGGAAAACCAGCAAAGGTCTGTACGAAATTGCTATATACGCTGGTGGCTCAAGTTCAGTACTGCAGATAGTAGACAAAGGATAAGAAAGACAACGATATATTGTTTAGGCTCCAATTCTAATTCCAATAGAGGACTGTATAATTCCGTAAATTATTACTTATGTTTCGAATTCGGTCCGTTCTAATTCTGTTCTCTCTAATCATCTTCAACTCAAATCTCCTTTCTAACGTATACTTCACGTGTACTTTAGATGACAACAACAGCAACAACTACTGTAGTACGTCATACCATACAATTTCTTAAAAGGTCCGTTAAAAACCTTATGAAACAACTCATGCCAACTTGGCTGCATCCTTTGATTCTGATTGGTTTGTATAAAGTAGACTAAACAGCTTAACTAATTAATGTAAAATAACTGATGATGACAATGATGATGATGCAATAGGAACTTGAAACTAGGTAGGGGCATTTTCAGTCTCAATCCGCTTACCATACATGGAATCTGCAGGAGTGTCTTAGAAAAGTGTTGTTACTTTTTTGTAGGGCTGAGGGGGGGGGGGGGTGAGGTAGTATTAGCTGGTAACCAGAAAAATATGAATGATTATGATAATAATATAGCAGCATCTCCATTTCGCTGCCATTGCTCTGTGTTGGTATGATTTTGATGGTGTCAGCGAGCTTAGTAAATAATAAACTTATTGCCAGTATCAATACCAAATCAAAGCTTGCTATACAAATGTTTGCCTTTCTGTATTTTTCAAGTTTTATCAGCTGGTGCTTCATTGTTCTTCCAAGTTTCATATATGCTTTCTTTCTGACTTCTAAACTTTTTCAATGGGGTTTGATTTTCTAGACATTTGTCACCAATCAATCCGAATTCACCTTCCTTATTGTTTTATTTGCCTTCTTTTTGCAGAATTCCATCTGCAAGCTCTTACTTTTGTCTTGGTTGAAATTCAGCAAGGTTCATTTTGAAAGTCTTCCATTGTCTCAAATAATTTTCCATTTTATCCAAGAAAACTGACACAGCTCAGTCCTTAATTCGAAGTCTGTTCTTGTCCTTGAAATTCAGCCCAAAAAATGACCCACTATGCCAAGTTCCCGTCTAAATTAACACTTAACTATAGGATAGGTGTTAGTAAAGAAATCCTCCATACAATAGGCACTTGCAAACAACGGACAAATACAGCAAATCCTCGAATCGGCTCACGCTTGTTGTAAGCTCTTCCCCTCCAATTAGCTGTAAACTTTAAGCAAAATTTGCTAATAATTCTCCACTATCGAGTATGACTACACCCTAACATGCCATTTTTCCAAGGCATGATTTAAGTACAGGAAAAATTGCACATTCAATCCAAAATGCGAAGCTAAATAAAACGAATCTCTCACAATGTGTCAATTGCCAACAACGATGTGGGGGATGTTTTGTTCATCAAAGTGAGCTAGAAGAAAGTAAACGACCCAGTGAACTATTTACTGAAACGAACTATTTTATCGTGATGTCAGGCTATTTTCATAAGCCTACTCCCTCATCGGAGCAACCTGAATTAATCCTGAATGATGGTAAATTTTTCCCAAAACGTGCTGCCTGTGGATGAAACACAAACGAACTATTTTATCGTGATGTCAGGCTATTTGCATAAGCCTACTCCTTCATTGGAGCAACCTGAATTAATCCTGAATGATGGTAAATTTTTCCCAAAACGTGCTGCCTGTGGATGAAACACAAACGAGCTATTTTATCGTGATGTCAGGCTATTTGCATAAGCCTACTCCCTCATCGGAGCAACCTGAATTAATCCTGAATGATGGTAAATTTTTCCCAAAACGTGCTGCCTGTGGATGAAACACAAACGAACTATTTTATCGTGATGTCAGGCTATTTGCATAAGCCTACTCCCTCATTGGAGCAACCTGAATTAATCCTGAATGATGGTAAATTTTTCCCAAAACGTGCTGCCTGTGGATGAAACACAAACGAACTATTTTATCGTGATGTCAGGCTATTTTCATAAGCCTACTCCCTCATTGGAGCAACCTGAATTAATCCTGAATGATGGTAAATTTTTCCCAAAACGTGCTGCCTGTG